CCCCTCGCAAGGGTACAGCCGGCGCGTGACCCCAGCGGCGCGCGGGGCGCCGTGACGTCACCGCGGAGGCCGCGCCCCTGCCACGTGAGCTTGTTTGGGTCTCGCGAGGCACCGCCCCGGGGCAGTTCATCGCCGCGGCTGGTGAACCCCTCGTCCCTCAGAGCCGGTTCAGAAGTCCGGTTCCCGTCCGGTGTCGTTATCTGCGACCGAACCGGGACATCGGAAAAGGGCGGCGGCCCATCTGGAGTGTGGGCCACGTCGGGCTCTTTCTGCCTCGTCCAGAGCCACATCTGGACCCCGACGTGAAAAGCTCCAAGACTCGGTGGTCACCCTGCCAGCCATAGCCTGCACCGTTGACCCAGCTGCCACTCTGCGGCCGGCAGTTTGGACACCATCGCCCAGGTGCGGCCTGGCTGCCCGAGGCCTGAAACTCTGCCTATGAAAGTGCATGGCCCGCTGGGCTCCTGTGTTGGATCATTTGGTATTCTCGCAAAGGGCTGAACGCTGGAGGTCACCCACCTGGCCAAAAAGCGACGACTGAACTGAGACTGTTGTTGAGGCCTTTCATGATGCCAAATGTGTGGCAATTTATGGAGAAGAATGTTGGAGGTTTTTTCCTTCTGGCTCAAGCCGTTTCTAGGCATATGAATTTGAGAGAACCGTCCTGTGTAGGAGCTGAGGGATGAAATAAGGGGATAAGGAGTCAATTCCATCTGTTTACATGCTATGAGTAGTTAAGCAAGCTGTATACATCTCTTCTTTTTCCTCTTCCTCATTACCGTCATCAGGTTCCACTTTAAAATGCTATGTCCTTGGCTCCAGCAGGTGGTGTGGTGATTAAGGCACTGGACTCCCACACGGTGGACTGCAGTTCGAGTCCCAGACCTTTGGCTTGAAATTCATGTGAGGCATGTGTGCATGCATGACCAAAATCCCAGGAGGAGATTGTAGTTACCATCCCTCACCCCATGTGTGTGTGGGTGATTTCTCACTTTCCCTCTGTCTTCTCTCTCTCCCCACAGGAGCATGCACCTTATGGCAAAAACCTTAAAAAAAACCAATGCTATGGGGCTGGCAGTTAAAGGTGCTGGACTCCCACGTGGCCAACCGTGGTTTGAGTCCCAGACCCAGAGGTGTTCTCTCTTTTTGTCCCTCTCTGGTCAAATTAAAATAAATAAAGTTAAATAAGATTATTGTTTTGAAAAGTGCTACATCCCTGGGGGTCAACAGCTGGCATGGTGATTAGGGTGTTGGACTCTGACGTGCCTGACCATAGTCTGAGTCCTGGACATAGCAGCTTGCTTCATTCTCTCTCCCTCTCACTGTCTCTCTTTATTGAGCATGCATGTCCTATTCAAATAAAATAATAATGAATTAATCATTTTTTAAAAATGCTACGTGCTTAAGGTGACCCAGGAGAGTAGTGGTTAAAGCAGCTGGATTCCCACATGGCCAACTGAAGTTCTAATCTGGACCTGGGGGCTTAAAAAATACACAAGATGGGTAGTGGTATGGCGGTTAGGGGCACTGGACTCCCACATAGTCCTGACCTGGTGGCTTGCTTTCTCATTTTTTTTTCTGTCTCTCATTCTGTCCCCTCTCTGGTCAAATTAAAACAAATTAAAAGTTAAATAATTCTTTAAAAAATACGTATATATGTATGAGCATGCGTGCACACCCTAAATCCCCACAGCACAGAAAGATGAAGGAGGAAGGATCACACCCTGCTCATGTCCTTCTGGGAGGTGCTTCCTCCTTCTGCCTCTTTCTCTTTCTGTCTTTCAGAAAACGGAAGTGCACCGTGCCCTCTGGCAATTAAAAAAAAAAGTTACACCTGGAGGCTCCTTCCATTGTCAAGGATGTCTTGTCCTTTGTGGGCTCTAACCACAATGCACTGTCTTTCAAGGAGATTGAGTGTGTGCTTTAGGTTTTCTTTTTTCTGTCAAACATCAGTTGTTCCTTGTATGATTCTTGATTTCTGTGATCAAAGTAGCCCTTGAAAAATAAAACCTTTTTTCCATGGGTAATTTTTCTTAGGTTTGAATGCACTTCACTTTTGATCCTGTCTAAATATTTTCCATTCTTTTTTTTTTTTTTTTTTCCTAAGCCTCCGGGTCTGGGACTCAAACCGTGGTCGACAACATGGGAGTCCAGTAACACATTATGCCAGCTGCTGATCCCTTACACGTAGTATGATTTCAAGCTGCCAAGAGCTAGGACTTGAACCGAAGTTGGCCATGTGGGAGTCTAGCACTTTAACCATCACACCACCTACTGGTCCTTCTGAACTGTTCAAGTTGCAGACAAGATGTTCTTCTATATCCCTAAGCACTTCAATTGGTGTTTCCTAAAAATAGAGATTTTTTAAAGGATTATTTTATTTAACTTTATTTTTAAAATTTGACCAGAGAGGGACAGAGTGAGAGAGAGAGGTCTGGGTGGGGGAGTAAGAAAGCAAGTCACCAGGTCTGGGAACCAAACTGGTTATCCATGTGGGAGTTCAGCCCCCTTAGCCACCACGCCACCTGGTGGCCCCAAGACATTCTTTTATGTAACACAGTTTGGCAATCAGAGTCAGGAAATTTACACCAATAAAATATGATTTGATACACATTTATTCAAGTTTTTTGTTTTGTTTTTAGAGGTTTTTGCCATAGGGCACGTGCACTTGCCAGAAAGACAGAGACAGAGAAACAAAAAGCAAGAAATCACCCCCCCCGGGGGGGGGGATGGCCACGCCACAATCCCTTCTCCTCCATTTTCCTCTCGGGATCTTGGGCACACACGCACATGCACCCGGTGTGAGTTTAAGCCAGGCGGTCCGCCACTCAACCTCAGTCAACTACATGGGAGTCCAGTGACAACCATTATGCCAACTGCTGGTACCTATTTATTTATTTTATTTGACCAGAGGGACAGAGTAAGCGAGGGAAAGGGAGAAAGTAAGCTGCCAGGTCTGAGATTTGAACTGTAGTTGGCCACATGGGAGTCCAGCACCCTAAACCATACCACTTGCAAGCCCCTAAAAATTATTTTTAGAGAGATTTTTTGCTGTCGGGCATTAGCACTCACTAGAGAGACAGAGGGGGAGAGAGAGACAGAAAGCAAGAAATCCCCCCCTCCCCACCAGGGAGGATGACCATGCTACAATCCCTTGCATGCACATGTGCCTGGTGTGAGTTGTCAATGGCCAGATCTGGGACTCTGAACCATGGTCACCTGCATGGGAGTTCAGCAACGTAATGATTATGCCATCTGCTGGTCGCCCCCACCCAGCTTTTCTTTTTAAAGACATGATCTTGCCATGTTGCTCAGACTGAGCTTGAACTCGTGATACCTTCGCCCCAGCCTAAGTAGCTGGGAGTACAGGCATGCACCACCATGCCTGGTTTCCTCATTTAAAATTTTAACGTAGGGAGACCAGCAGATGGAGTAATGGTTACGTTGCTGGACTCCCAAATAGTTGACCACAGTTCAAGTCCCAGACCTGGTGACTTAAAAGCCACACTGGGCATGTGTGCGTGTGTGCCCAAAATCTGGAGAAGAGAATGGAGGAGAAGGGGTTACGACATGGCCATCCCTCCTAGGGGATGATTTCTCGCTTCACATTTGTATCTCTGACTCTCCAGCGAGCGCACGCACCTGATAGCAAAACCCTCTCTAAAAAAAAAAAAAAAAAAAAAATTAACCTAGGGGCAGCAGATGGTTATGGTGGTTCAGGGGCTACACTTTGACATGGTTCAAATCGTGGATCTGGTGGCTTGAAAATCCCATCAGGGGCATGTGCATGTGTGCTCAAAATTCCAAAGAGGAGATAGAGGCGAAGGGACTGTGATGTGGCCTTGCCTCCTTAGGGTGATTCCTCACTCAACCCCTCACTGTCTGTCTCTCTCCTGTCCCAAGAGCGTACATGCCCTATGGCAAAAACCTTTAAGAAAATTAACCTCTCCTCTGGTTGTAGTTGTCTGGTTTCTCACTAAGACTGCTACAATAATGACCTGTGGGTATAATATATGTGAATTCAGTTATGTTATAGGATACGTTTATATAATTGGGGAGTGTGATGATTTACAACTTCGATGGGTATGGCCAGGGGTCCTCCAGAAAGACTAATCACATTCTTCCCAGCAGTGCCAGAGTGCCACGGCATTGCCCAGCCTGGAAATGAATCTTTCTTACTCTTTGCTCGTTTTATAGGTAAAAAACAAAACCCTCATCTTACTTTACATAGTTTTGCTTACTAATGAGGCAGAAACATATTTTCATATTTAGATGTGTTTTCCTAGACTGAAAGTTCCTCAACGACAGGATTTTTGCCTCTTGGTCTCTGCTGTATCCGAAACGCCACAAGTCAGGTCTGGCACGTCCGAGGCGCGCAAGTACTTGCCGAGTGAAGCTGCAGTGCTCTGCGTGTTGCTTGTTCATAGCCCTCCGCTCATTTTCCAGGCGGAGCTATTTTGACGGAATTGTGGAGGCTGGTGTAGCTGAATTTCCGGTGCTTCCCCATGAGCTTGCACGGGGCTGAGCTGATCGTGAGTACCTCATATGTGACCATGGCACTATCTGTGGTGGGTGACAGCCTCTCTGCCTCCTCAGGTGCCTCAGAGGTCCTCTGGCCCTCTCGGTTCCAGCCTCGGCCTTCCGTGGTGAGCGGACAAGGTAATCCATGGATCTGGTGTGTGGTGCAGGGCAGCCTGGTCAGGGCCCACGTCTTGTCCTGGTACAAGCAGGTGGTGGGGAGCGGCCCCACCTTCCTGCT